TCGTTGTATGTTGGCGCCATTTACCCTCGTTAAATGATTTGTATTCCGCGCCTAAACCTTAGGGTGCTTGCCTTATTTGGCTCAAACATATTCATATTTAGCTAATATTACGATCCGTTAATATTTGACTTTTGAGTCTGTTATACGTTCGCTGTCAGTATAAGAATTGCTGTGGGTTCCTGTGGTTGTTAATCCCTGCGGCTTATAACACCCCAAAACCACAACCTAGTGTTTATTTCAGCGGGAGATCCCGTACAAAAAAAAGGCCTCTCCGGCTCCTAATGCAATTATTTGAATACAGGGTGATATAAGCAAGGTTCCAGAGCTAATGTTAACAGACAGTTCAAAGTATGGATCATCAGTAAATGGCATGAAGATCACACAGCCAACTAAACTACAAGATGGTGATGAAGTATTGTTTGGAACACACGGTAGTGTCTATAGGTATGGGTGGAAGGTCATATTGATAACCTTGCGTAGTGTATTAGCTTTGGAGCTGTTTTAAAGACTATCAATCATTTTATGATATTCACTCAGTCAGTAGGTCATTTATTTAGTCTTTTCTTTAATTCATTTTCCATTCATCCATTTAATCATTTTTGAAACCATTTATTCAAAAKTTCATTCATTTATGCATTCAGAGTTACCTACACTCCATTGATTGCTGTTACCTCATGCCTGGAAAGTAATAAAAAGAAACTTCTCAAGAAGCAAATACATAAACTTGGTATGCACATACAATTTCCTCAACTTAGCTAGCCTAATAAAGTATATCTTATTACAGCGGGAGTCGTTGCTTGTCGACCTCTTTGTTTTGAAGTTTGTCTGGATTTTGTTCTTTCTTTCAATCTGAGGGGCAGAGCTTTTYGAAACTTAGTTCARTCATTGACTGATTAGTATCAAGCTYCGGCCAAAGTCRCAGAAAAAAACTAAATCCCAACTATTTCCTTTGATCATTGAAGTCGCAATGCAACRGTTTCTGCTGTAATTTTGTTTTCTGTGTCTTTGAAAAGAAAAGCAACTCTTTGTGCACAGGAAGAGTAGACTCTGGTATTGTTTCATGCTGTCACTGTCAGATACACATAACATACAATCTTTTCCACAATGCTTTATTTAGAATTTTTGAACTCAGAATTTTAAAAACTACAATTGTTATATTCTATTTGAAGGTGGTCATCTTATAAATGAATGGAAAACAGGACATGTTAATCATTTAGTTATGGATGGTCTTGTTTTTACAATCAAAGTAAGCATATTTATCATCTGTTTTTCAAATGTAAATGTAG